GCAAAAGGGATTGCCATAATCTCATTATCTCAATTTTCTGATTGGTTAGGATGTAAGCAGAAATGCCTGGTCCATGAAACTTATGTATCACATAACTTGTCATCCTTCGTTATTGTTAGTTCCAAGTGAGTCAATAATGACTCATGGCAAGTCCATGTGTGCAGAGCGGAATTGCTCCATGAACTTTTCAAGGCTGTGATTTTTCTAAAGCAGATTGCCAGGCCTGTCTCCCAAGGCACTTCTGGGTGGCTTTGAACTGCCAACCTTTTAGCAGCTAGTAGTGCAATGCTCAACCATTTGCATCACCTAGGGGTTCCTTTATCCTGTGTACTGGAGACTACTACTACTACCATATTGTTGTGGTTGTTATGTGCTGTCGAGTCGGACCCAACTCATAGCGATCCCTCCTTAGGTTTCTGAGGCAGTATCACTACGGAAGTAGATTGCCCAACCTTCCTTCCAAGGAGTGGCTGGTGGGTTTGAACTGCCAGCCTTCTGGTTGGAAGTCAAGTGCCTTAGGCACTATGCTATCAAAGCTCCCATAACAACTAATATTTATTAACTGGTGTTGTTGAACACTCTCTCCTCATCTGTCATTTCCTGTGACAGCACTATGCCCTTGGGCCTGTTAGGATCCCTATCTTAACAGATGAGGGAATTGAGGCACAAAGAGATTAGGTAAGTAGACTGAATGCCGTCTTCTGATGATTAAGAGTCTCTCATCACTTTCATTTGCATTATTCTGAACTCTAACCATATTCTAATTGTCTGAGGTTGGTGAAGGCAGGAGTCAGAATCTCTTTTGAACCTGGATCATGGTCTGGAATTTTCAATACATTTCTGGCATTAGAATGCTTTTGTCATTTATCTCCAAGCCTTAGAAGTGGAGAGGAAGTAGTTAACTAGGAATGTCAGATAATCCAGTGTCTATTTTAATGCTCTTAATACACAGTAGCTGTCCATGTTGCTGTTTGTGGGAAAACCAGATGCCTGGCAAATTAGTGTAGGTGGTGTAATCACATCCTAATTACTACCTGGCAGCATCACAAAATTCTCTGCCTTATGAAAGCAGTAAATCCTACTGGTTGAGTTGAGAGTCTCACCACAATCATTCCAGACTATTTAATGGTCATGTAATCATGCAAAGTTTAACTCATGCAAAGTTTCTTCTTTTTCTTTTTTAGGTATTTCATCTTTTCATAAACTTTGTAATGGCAAAAACCTCCAGGGCTCAGGACCATAGTCTGGGGTAACACTAAGGTCAATTGGCAAAACATAGTTCACAGTGTTCTACATCCTACTTTGGTGAGTAGGGACTAGGGTCTGAAAAGCTTGTGCGTGGTTCTCTAAGGTGTAACTATTGGTGTCTCCCCGTCAGAGCAAAGAAGAGTGAATAAAGTCAAATGTGCATCAAACAATTATTCTAAAGAACTAAAGGAGCATGTGAAGCCCAGCTTCCACAACCCTGAGACTAGAATAACTAGACAATGCCAGGCCACCATTGCTGACCACTCTTAAAGGGATCACAGTAAGAAGTCCCAAGTAAGAGTGGGGGGAAATGTGGAACAAAATTCAAAATCACAAAATAGACCAGGGTTACTCATCTGATAAAGACTGGTGGAATCTACAAGTCTATCACCCTTAGACACCCTTCAAGCTAGGATCTGAACTTAACACCCATGACTCACCTTGTGGCCAAACAGTTAGAAAGGCCTAGAAGATGAACAGTAATACCAGGAGGGTATGCACTCATTAGAACAATCAAGCATGTGAGATCAAGAGGACAGAATTTTCCTAGGAATAGAGCTAGGAAAGCAGGAAGGGATGGGAAAGAAGGATGCAGGGAAGGGGTGGGCACAGGGAGGAGGTGGGAAGCATGCTGTTACCATGGGGGGATTACAGTAAACATCACAGAACAGAATGTTTATGGGTTGTGGAATGGAAAATCAGTTTGCTCCATGTAACTTTCACCCAAACATAAAAAGAAATAACCTCTAGTTTAAGATTTTTCCTTCTTATTGATTATGAGAGTCAAAGAGGTTGGCCTTTAATTCCATTTCCTTTAAACAGGTAATGCCTGCCAGTGCCACTGGTGTTTAACAATTTCACACCATGGCTGACCATCTGCCTTTAGAGCTGTCTCATTGGTTCTTTGGGCATAAAGTCTCACAATCATTTCTTAAAAAAAAAAAAAAAAAGTCAAGTCAAGTCCATACTCTACTATGGAAATAGAAATTAAAAAGAAAACATCGAAAGTGCAGGAAGATTTCAAGCTTATGTTTCATTAGTAATGATGAAAACTAGCTGTAGAAAAAATGCAGTGTATCATTGTGAAAGTGCATAAAATATTTCAAAACTCCCAACAATAAAACATCTTTGTTAGTAAGTGGCTTTATTGATGTAACTGAACATAACAATGTATAACATTTATTCATTTCCCACTGAAAGACCTTTCAGTGAAACTGTTAAATAGAACATTAAAAAACAAACAAGTATAAAATCCACTGCTATGGAGTCTATTCTGACCCATAGCAACCCCACAGGACAGAGTGGAACTGCTCCATAGGGTTTCCAAGGCTGTAAATCTTTAGGGAAGCAGACTGCCTCATCCTTCTCCCTGGAGCATGGAGTGGCTGGTTGGTTCAAACAAGAGATCCAGATGTTAAGCATCTTCAATGATATTCTCCATTTGAAAGCGTTGGTAGTTGGGGGAGGTACCAGAGGTTTTTTTCCGTAGTTTCCATTGGGACTCAGTATCATAGGGCTGTGCAAAAGAAACAGCTAAGAGATGCAATAGCTCTGCAAATGAAAAAAAAGAAAAAAAAAAAAAAAAGCCACAAATGATCCAGATGAGTGCCCCAAAGCCTGAAGGTTGGAACTAAGAGTGAACGACTTCACCTTTCCCATGTATAATGTGCTCTGAATCTAAAACAAGCTTTGCCAGCAAACTAAGAATGACAGTTTATTTCCTGTGGTTTATTAAATTTTGGCCCCATAGATAAGAGTGCCAGAAAAGCAGCTGCAGCTTAAGTGGTCTGGACATTTACTCATCTGAACATAAACAAAGGCCAGCTAATTTAGATCTCTGGGTCCCTCTTCAGCTGTTCAGTCCACAGGCGGCATGGCTCAGTCCAGACCAAATATAAAAGGAGTGAACAGGGGTTGAAGAACCCCTGGACTGTGATGGATTCCCTGAGTCATCAGGACCTCAGGGGCTTTAAGGCCCTAAACAAAAGATTCACTGTTGGCCTTAGCACCAGTGTATTGGCCTCCACCGCACGCCACCAAAATCCACTGCCTCTGAGTTGATTCGGGCTCATAGTGGCCCGATAGGACAGACTAGAATGGCCCTGTAGGGTTTCCAAGGTGGTACATTTTTACAGACACAGACTGCCTCATCTTTCACCCATGGAGTGGCTGGTGGGTTTGAACCACCCATCTTTTTGGTTAGCAGCTGAATGATGTAACCACTGTGCCACCAGAGCTCCTCACAGGCTTGGGAAGATAATCACAGTGTGCACTCTCCTAATTATTGCATTCTGAGATCTCATGCAAAATTACTAATGTAAACCAAACCAATATCTTTAGTGTCAAACAGTTATTCTGTGAATATCAAGGAAAGAAATTATCCCAGATAGTTGAAAACAACTGAGCAAATACAGAAGCCTAATCCTAAATTTAAAACAAAAACATCAAAAAGAAATACATTATTAACTAAAAGGTAAGACTGAGTAACACAGGAAAACACTGGGCAGTGGAGGGATTAAAGTTTGCAAAATATGTAATTATTTCACAGTGATGATGTACTTTTTTCACATTTTTCCCCATAGTTTCTTTCCCTCTACTATTTCACAGAGAATAAGACATTAATGGTCAAACTTTACACTATCAAATGATACTGACCTTTTGCTTCCCTCTTTTGATTAGGAAATTATGTTTATCAATTAACAATTCATCTCAAGAGGAGGAGGGGACAGCCAACTCTGTGTCACTGATAAAATCAAACACAATCGTACCACACTGCATCTATCCAAATCTAGACACACTGTCAGAGATGCAAGATGTGAAGACGACTTGAATTCCCCATGGGGCCTGTCAGTTACATACACATTACATTCCTTACCAAGTCTGGCATTTCCATATACAGGTTTTTTTAAAAAATATAAATGGAAAAAAACACAGGAGCAACCCTGACAGAGAGTTACACACAGGCTACTCCTGAGAATGTAATCTTAGTCATCCCCAAAGTCAGCAAACCATCTTCCCACTTAATGAAAGGAATACCACCAAGTTCAACTAAAACAGTCCTTAAGTTTATTGGTCAGTTTGTTATATGTCAAAGCTCTTCACATTGTTGAAAAAAAAAGTAGTCTCTTTTATTATTTAGCATTAAGGTATCCTGAATGCTCTCCCATCCAACATTGAGTTCCTTGTGAGTGTATTAAACTTTACCACCTGTTTACAACATCACCCTTCTTGGCAGAGACCACCAAACCAGTGGAGTCAGTTGCCAAGCCTTCTTTGTAATGGTAATAAGTTCCTCTCTCCTTAAATAGAAACAAAACTCCTCTGTGTGACACTGAACAAAGAAAAGGCATGCACCACAATCTCTGGCAATGTTGAAAGCCAAAGTACCCTTTTCTACCCCAAAAGGAGCCAGGCTTACTGCACTGCAATGCCACAAAAGCCATTCCCATAGCTACGTCAAGGCCTTTATGTGAAATAAGCCTCTCACCTCTGCACCCCATCATCCATTTGTCCCCTGTTCTTGGCCTTGATCATCAAGCACCATTTACTTCATGAGGGGCTACTGAGCATTGAGGATGGTGCCTAAATTGGCTCTCTGTCCCCTTTGGCCTCCCCCTTGATAGACGCAGAAAACGGACAAGGTGAAGGTCTGATAAAATGGGAGCCGTCCCTGATGTGGGTTGAGGGAACTTGTGGGGAGGCGGTTCCTCAAGGCCAGTTAGATGGTCTTCACACCCCTGGAAGCCCGGGACCTAATCTGCAAATCGCTGCAGAAGATGGTCCTCCCGTCTCAAGCTGCCGCCTGTGCCGCCGCCTGAGCTATCCATGAAGCGGTCGCACGGGAACTCGATGAGATCTGCCTCACTGAGAGCACACACTGTAGTGCGAGGCCGATGCGACTGGAATCCCGCGAAGTCTGCAGACACACCAGTGCCCATGGAGCGCAGAGGCCGTCGAGTTGAGTACATGTGGCGAACGTGGACCGGGGTCCCGCCCTTTCGCCTGGCCCGCAGCTTCCTCCGCAACCAGCGCGACGCCCAGGCCGCCAAGGCCAGAAGCACCAGCAGCGCATTGACAGCCAACAGGACCAAGGTCAACAGCTGGTAGTCGACGCTACTGTGGCTCCCTGGTTCCGGCAAGGTGACCAGCCCTGCACAGTGGTCCCGGGGAGCCACGGGGCAGACCCGGCCCCCAAGCACGCCTTCCACGCACACCAGGTAGGGGGTGTCTCCGCGCAGCTCACGCAGCGTGGCCGAGTCGCTGTGCTCGGGTAGGTAGACGAAGCGGTGGAACTTGGGCTGCTGGCCAAAGCGGTCGAAGAGCAGGCGGAAGCGCGCGCCGCCCAGCGGCCGGGGGCTGCGGTGCTCGCGCACAGCCCAGCGCACAGAGGCGCTGTTGGCGCCCACCGCCTCCACTGTCAGGTTGCACAGGATGAACTTGTTGAAGTCGCACGGATCAGACACCAGAGGAGGCAAGCCAACCCTGCTGTAGGATTGGACAGCACGTTCCTGCTGCTCCGCGGCCAAGCTCTGCTTCGCTGCACGCTGCCAGGGGTCGCCGGCTGGAGAAGGAGCAAAGCCAGACGCCGCCGTCGGGGTAGGCTCAGCGAATGCTGGATCGCTCCGGGTCGGGCGTCCCTGCTCGGGCTTCTCGTAGAAGTCCAGCAGGGGTGGCGGCGGGTCCGCAGCAGCGGCGGCGGAGGGACCCAGCTGCTGAAGGCCGGGGCCCCGTCGGCTCAACCTCAGTACACTGCGGTTGCTGATGAGCTCCCTGACGACCCCATCCCAGGCCACCCCAGGCGGAAATCGTTCCCGCTGCTGCAGCTGCGGCTGCGGCGACAACTCCTCAACAAGACTGTCTGCAGGGGGCGCCATCTCCTCCTCGGCTACTGTGGGCAAGGGCCACCGCCTACTGTCGGGGGTCGGGTAAGGTGAGGGCGACGGATCTGCGCAGGACCCGTTCTGTAGCTGTTGGTCGTCCAGGTAATCCAGGTACTTGCCCCGAAGGGCCGGGGGGTGGCGACACTGCACAAAGACCGTGAGAAGCCGGCCCTGCGAGTGCCAGTTTCCCATCCAGCGCTTCAGGCCTCGCAGCCGGCAGTCGCAGGTCCAGCCGTTGCCGTCTAGATCCAGCCGGTAGAGAGCTGGGCTAGCCGCGAAGATGTCCCCGGAGAGGGCGCTGAGCGCGTTGTTGCGCAGGCTGAGCTCGCGCAACCGGCCAAGGTGGCCAAACGTGGCGGGGTGCAGCGCGGACAGCTCGTTGCTGCTCAGGTCCAGTGCCTCCAGGCTATGCAGCGGCTCCAGCAGTGTCACAGGCAGCTGATTCAGCCTGTTGCCCTCCAGGCGCAGCTCGCGCAGGGCCTCCAAACCCCAGAAGGTCTCCGGAGCGAGCTGTGAGAGCTGGTTGCTCCTGAGAGAGAGTAGGCCAAGGCGCGGCAGGTGCTGGAAGACGCGCGGGCCAAGGTGCTGCAAGCTGTTGGCGGAAAGGATGAGGGTCGACAGGGAGCGGAGCGGTGCGAAGGTGGCTGCGTGGCGCAGAGACGGCTGTAGCTCGTTGGCAGAGAGATTGAGGAAGCGCAGCTTGCCCAGATGGGCGAAGGCGTTTTTGCCCAGAAAACGGATCCGGTTGGATTCTAGATGAAGGTAGAGCAGGTTGCCCAAGGGGGCGAAGACGGCGTCCGGCAGCGCCCCCAGGGCGTTCCCGTCCAGCCGCAGCTTGACCAGGCTCTCCAAGCCCTCGAAGGAACCGCGATTTAAGCGGCCTATCTCGTTCCCGTTGGCATAGAGGATGCGCAGCTTCCGCAGCGGGGCCAGCGTGCCAGGGGCGATCGCCTGCAGGAGGTTGTTCCCCAGGTAGAGCTCCTCCAGCCGTGAGAGCTTCTCGAAGGTCTTGGGGTGTAGAGAGCGGATCTGATTGTACTGCAGGTCCAGCCGTCGGAGCTGTCCCAGGCGGTGGAAGTCGAAGGCCGTGATGTTGGTTATGAAGTTGCCTCCGAGGCTGTAGGTGAGCACTTCTTGGGGGCTCGGCAGCGAGCTGGTCTTAGGCACCGCGCGGAGCCCCCTGTTAGTGCACAGGAGGTGCTGAGGGTGCTGGCAGTCACAGCGCTCGGGGCACACGGGCTCGGTCCAGGGCGGGAGCGCAAGGCAGCCGCACACCATGAGTAGGAAGCGCACGGCGCGGGCAGCCTCCATCGCCGCCCGCCCTGCGTGCTGCGACCGGATCGTCCTCTTGGCCCGCCGGCTCTGTGTCTCCTCCGCATTCCCCTTGGCCTGGCCAGAGTCACTAAATGGCCTCTTTCGGACTCCGCTGCTCCGTCCGGCCCCTCCTCCGCCCTTTGTCCGGTAGCTAGACTGGGTCTGCAAGACGGGGTTTGCTTGGCCAAGTCAGGCAACGCAGGGCGCTGGGCGAGCTCTGGGTGCTACTTGTTGCATTTCTGCAGAAAACAGTTTCTCCGGGTGCGCGTCGGGGGGCGGGGGAGAGAGCAAGACGTCGCGGTTTTTGTTTGCTGCGGAGGCGGGAGAGCTGGATTCCCTGGCGCGGATTTTCCTCGCCGAGTGGATTCCCCAGCTGCGGGCGGGAGCCTTTCCAAGAGCTCCTCAGGGCGCGGCGTGGCTGTTGCTCCCCGGCGCTCGGCCCCCTCAGCTGGCGCCTCCTCGCTCTCGTTCCCCGACACCGAACGCAGCCTCGGAGGAACAGCCCGGGGAGGAGCCGGGGGCGCGCAGGCTGTGTCCGGAAGGGGCTAAACTCGGCGAGTGGCGAGAAAACCAGGCGGAAATTCGTTCTTCCCACACTCTGCCCCCCCCCCCGGGGATGCAGGCGGAGAAAGAGGATACGGCGGAGGGAGGATAGACTCTGCAGGGGGAGGAGGAAACGCTAAGTGGCTCCTCGTCTGGTCAGCTCGAGCCTTGGACGCCAAGTGAGAAAAGTAGGGATTAAAAACAGCTGTACCGGTCGGACACGCAGGGCTGGGGGCGGGGGTGGATTACCGGGCGAGCAAACTGGATTTGCAGACAGAGCCCTTTTTATTTTAGAGGAGAGTACACCCGCCGCTCCAGAGCAGTGGGCGCGCGCCTCTCCTCACTAGCTTTTAAGTTTCCTTGCTCTTCCAGGAGCCAGTCTGCGGGAAGTTACGGCAGCATTGAGTGCGCCAGCATTCTACAGAAAGTTTTGGCGAACACAGTGTTGTCTGCAGAGACATGTAGTGGGCTGCTCTCGCCGATCAACCTATTCTGATTGTTGTGCGTTTGTGGTTTTGACCTGTGTGTACGAATAGCCTAGGAGAGGCACCACCCCCTTCTGGGTACCTGAAGGCAAGAGAGCATGGAGAAAGCACAGAACCGGTTCTTCCTCTGTGTTAAATTTGGGTGATTCGGTCCCATAAATACAAGGATTTTACAGCACTTGGGACAGACTCCTGACATTGTATATGTATAATAACCTTTGCAGACCCTGCATAACTGCCCACTCTAGTCTCCTCATGCTTTATGTGTGGGCTTGCAAGGGCTCCTCAAAAAGTTTTTAGCCCAGCTTACTTGCTCATGTATAATCTATTATTATCAATAGGGAATGGAGCACTTACAGTGGTTTCTCTGGGACAGCCTCTGCGAAGAATGAAAAATGGACAAGTAGTATCTTTTAAGTGCTATTAGTTTATGGAAATGTCCTTCCCCAAATAATTGCCTCTTCAACCTTCTTCCCCAAGATATTAAAAAAATATATAATTTTGAGGACTTAACTCTATTCAGTGGCCTGGTGCAGTGTAGTGACTTACATGGTATAGCTTTTCTAGTCACAGTCTTTGTAATTCCCAACGGATTACTGGGTGGGATCATGCAAATATGTGTCAGCTTGGCTGGGCAGCTGGTAGTAGTTATTCCCTATAATGAGACTGGAGTTTATAGTGGAATTTGCCTTGACCAACTGAGTAGCTGTTTTTAAACTCCTGATTGTTAGAGTCATCCACCTGGGGCATTTCTGTTGGCGCAGCAGGAAGTAATCTGGGAAGATTGGCTCTTTCTCAGGTGTGTAGAACTCTGATGTTGCGATTGGTTAGTTTTGCCACTCTGCCAGGTTTAAAATGAGCCCTCCTAGAGGCAGAGGGGAAGTCTCACTGCCAGCTGAGAGAGATATCCAGCTGAGAGAGCTGCCAGGCTGAGAGAGATTCCTGACTGAAGCATGAGACAGAGCAGCAGGCTTACATTGCCCGCAGAGGCCAGGCTGAGAGGCCAAGGACCAGAGAGGTGTGTCTAAGGACACAGCAGAGGAGAGACTGTCCTGATCGAAGAACTGTATCCTGAGTGTGTTCCTGAACTTGAATTGTAGCCTGTTGCTTCCCTAATAAACTCTATAATCTGCAAATTCTGCATGGCCACTGCAGCAAAGAGGTGATGGGTGCCATGGGAGGGATGGTTGGTGTCAAGGTTGGTAAGAGGGCTGGAGGGTGGCAGCATTTTTGGCCTCATAGCAACAGGCCTTGGGCTGCTGGTGGTGATTCTGTCTTCCCCTTGTGTAGTAGTTGTTGTTATGTGCTGTCAAGTCAGACTTGACTCATAGTGACCCCTCCTTGGGTTTCTGAAGGTGGTTAGAGGAGGTCAAAAGATGCTGCCTCCCTGCCCCTTTAACACTTGGTTACCTTCTTTGGAAAGGTCACAGCCTTGAAAACCCTTAGTTTTACTCTGCATACATGGGGATGCCATGAGTCAGAAATGACTCTACAGCAATTAACAACAACTTGATGCAGGCTCCTGGGTGGTACAAACTCTTTGTGCTTGACTGTTGTTGTTGTTATGTGCCATTGAGTCTCATAGCAACCCCTCCTTGGGTTTCCGAGGCAGTATCACTACGGAAGTAGATTGCCCCATCTTCCTTCCAAGGAGTGGCTGGTGGGTTTGAACCTCCAGCCTTCTGGTTAGCAGTCAAGTGCCTTAGGCACTATGCTACCTTGACTACTACCCTAAATATTTGTGGTTCAAATCCACCTAGTGGTTCTGTGGAAAAAAGGCCCGACTATCTCTGGTAGCATAGTGGCTAAGACACTTGCCTGCTAACCAGACGGCTGGTGGTTCAAACCCACCAGTCACTCCTCAGAAGGAAGGTTGGGCAATCCTACTTCCCTAGTGATACTGCCTTGGAAACCCAAGGAGGGGTCGCTATGAGTCGGGACTGACTCGACGGCACATAACAACAACAGCAACAACATCTGCTTTCATAAAGGTTCCAGCCAAGAAAATCCTATGGAGAAGTTCTGTTGTGCCCAGTTGTTGAATCCCCAAAAACCACCAAGGAGCCGATTCCATTACAAAAGCATAGGGGTTGTTTATTCAAGCCCGAACCCTCAATGCAGCGGTTCAGGATCCAGAGCCCTGAACAAAGGGGAAGGGGATCTTTTATCGGGGATGGAGCAGGAACGGGGAAGTTTCAATCAGAAAATTACAGGATTGGTTGTTATTTTTCGAATTGCGCGTTGTCCCTACTTGATTGGCTCTGTCCTGTGGGCTGAGGCTGCAAACTGCCCTTTCTAGCTATTTTAGGTATAGGAATTTCAGGTATTTTCCTGATATTTACTGATTGGTTGTTGCTAGGGGGTATCTAGGGGGTCAGGGAAATCAGGACTTCAGGTTCTTCTCTATTATTCACTGATTGGTTGTTGCTTGGGGAAGTAAAGGAGGGGAGAGGGGTTCAGGACTCTGCGGTAAAGCCCTGAGGCGTGGGGAACGTGCTGGAGTTCCCTTGCACTAATGGCTTCTTGTTAAAAAAATGATTACCTGCTGGGCATTTGTACAAACGTGTGATCTCACATTTCTACTCTATACTCTATACTCATGGTAGGAGGGCCATGAGTCAAACTCTATTCATGGAAATGGATTTATTCTGTGCAACAGTGTGGACAATTAAAGGAGAGAGACATGCTCACCTCCAGAAGCTTTCAGTCTAGTGGAAGTGCAAGGCATTGAAAGTTTAGGTAATAATCTATGGCAGTGATATAAGAAAGATGCCAAGGTGGTTCACAAACTTTAATAGTTGCAAAGTTTGATAGTGATTAATTGCCTCATTTAGTCGTTAACACAGGTAAGTTATACAATCACTTGTCTGTCAGTTTATCATACTGGGGTGGCTTGCATATTTCTCTGAGGCTGGAGGCTATGCCACCAGTATTTCAAGTACCAACTGGGTCACCCATGGTGGACAGATTTCAGTGGAGCTTCTAGATGAAGACAGGTAGGGAAGACAGTTCTTCTCAAAGAACTGGCCAGTGAAAACCTTATGACTAGCTGTGAAACTCTGTGTGGTGTATTACTGGAAAACTTGTATGAATAGTCCTGAAATATTGCCTGATACAGTGCCAGAAGATGAACTGCTCAGGTCAGAAAGCACTCAAAATACAACTGAGAAAGAGCTGCCTTTTCAAAGTAGAGTCGATCTTAATGATGTGAATGGAGTAAAGTATTACCTATTTATCTAGCAGCATCTTGATAAATGGAGAAAAGATTGAAGTTGTCGAAGATTTCATTTTACTTGGATCCATAATCAATACCCACGGAAGCAGCAGTCAAGACATCAGACATCATATTGCACTGAGCAAATCTGCTGCAAAAGACCTCTTTAAAGTGTTGAAGAGCAAAGATGTCACTTTGAAGTGTAGAACCCAAAGTGTGACATTTTCAGTTGCCTGGTATGCACGTGAAAGCTGGACAATGGATAAGGAAGACCAAAGAAGAGCTGATGCTTTTGAGTTATGGTGTTGGTGAAGAATACTGAAAGTACCATGGACTGTGGAAAGAACAAACAAATATGTCCTGGAAGAAGTGCCTTGCAGCCTGGAAGCAAAAATGGCCAGAATTTGTCTCACTCACTTTGGTCACGTTGTCAGACGAGATCGTTCCCTGGAGAAGGATACCATCCTTGGTAAAGTGGAGGGTCAGCAAAATAGCAGAAGACCCTCAAAAGATGGATTAACACAGTGGTTGCAATGATGGGCTTAAGTGTAGCAAGGATTGTTCTGTTGGACATAGGGTTGCTATGAGTCAGAGCTGACTTGATGGCACCTAACAACAACAACATAGGCAAGTGATAGAAACAAATTCTCAATTTGGAGAAAAATGAGGTTGACGGCAGGTGTGGTGAGTGAAGACTTTAATGTGTGAGCATGGAGATGGATGTTAAAGAACAAAAGGTCTGTAGGTAGTGAAATGTCCACCCAGGGCACTCAATTGATCAGATTTGCGGTGATTTGCCTTGAGTTTTCAGAAGGTAAATTTGAATAACCAAATGTCTGTCTTAAGATGAAATACGAAGTTATCCAGGTAGTTTGGTAGTTTGTCTTTTAATGCTTATTGTGAGAAACTTCCAAAACTCCCTGTGTGAAGATGTGGTTACCTTGTGGGTGAAATACAAGCTTGC